ATAAAACAAAGTCTGGAGTACACATGGGATAAGCTTCACCCCCGAGAATTGTCCGGTTCCCGAGGGATACTTAACTTTTTGTAATTTATATAGTTTGTATGTTTTCTAATACCACGCGGACGAAGTCACGGGCAACAGCTCGTTTAATAAATATATTGACATATTTTATACATTTGTATTGTAAATAAGTATGTTTCTGATTATGGTTATCTTGGGGTCATAGATAATGTGGCGGTTATTTACTCTCATTGGCTAAAGTAAATAGATATATCTAAAGGTGGTCTTTGACCTTACGTATTTACTTGCTAGCTTTTGCCCGCGATTCCTTTCGCGTGGAATTAAAAAAGACATCTATGCCAAGTTTGAGTCGAAAATCACACTGCTACACGGCGGGATTTCAACCCAGGACCCGATTACAAGTCAATTGCTTAATCTATACTTCTATACTATTATAATAAAGCGTAAACACACACTTCTTTGTTGCCTAAGATGTCAGCAATTACAGTATATTTTTGAATAATTCACTTTTAATAAAAAGCCCTACTCTTACGTCATGCTTTAGGCTATATATTTTCACGCTATTAAACTTAGCGGGTAAATGAATTGGATGAAAATCCTAATGTGGGAAAGAGACCATAAGTTGTTGCCAACATCAAGGTTGCCAAAGTTTGTTATTTCATGTCATTTTCACATTTGCAATTGATAATTTGACATATGTGAACAATAATATGAGTTTTTTAAAATTAAACGCGGATGATGTCGCACGGGAACAGCTAGTATATCATAAAAACCCAATTGAACTAGCTCAACTATTACACAAGCCAATTACAGGAATGTCAATATGTACAGGGTTATATTCAATGTAAACTCATCTTTAAATCAACAGAACATTGTTTTGGTTTTCTATAGTAAACACTTTCAAAGAGTTCACAGTATTTTACAAGAGTCGTCGAATGTACGAAACATCCTTTATTCTTGTAAACGAAGTATTGATGTTAACTGTTAAAAGTAAGGGCATTGAAAAAATCTAAATTTCAGGTCATAAGGATGATTTATACTTCTTACTAATATTATAAATGCGAAAGTTTAGATGGATGGATGTTTGTTAGCGTTTGTAGCCTAAACGGCTGAACGGATCGCCATGAAATTTGGCACA